TATATATATATATATATATATAATGTAAATGAGTGTTTAGTTTAGAAACAATGTAAAAATGTACAGTAATTATATTACATGCTATTAACTATATAAAATAGTAACATTTATAAACGTATAAATGTTTGTGACTACCGAATAAAATTACCCCCACCCCCCAAAAAATTGCCACTTAAAATATATTTTCCAATACAATATAATATATACATCCAAATGGCAGAAAGTTGTGAGAACCCTAGTTTCTTCTGCTAGGCATTAAAGATTTTTCTGTCTTCGTTGACTCGGAGGGCCAATCTTGGGGTCCACACTGATGGATGTGATTTTTGGTGTTATTAGAGGGTAAAGCAGGGGGCTCATGGAAGAGGATCAGATCTCTGTGGAGTTACTGGCTGGTATCAACCTGTTCATCATGATTGAACATGGATTTGGATCTGAGAGAGCAAATACTCCGTTCAGACGGGAAACGGGAAAGACAGAAACACGGGCATTATATATATATATATATATATACAGTGGGTACGGAAATTATTCAGACCCCCTTAAATTTTTCACTCATATATATATATATATATGTATGTGTGTGTGTGTGTGTGTGTGGTGTGTAGTTATTAAAATTGAATTTGTAATATATGTATAATAATAAAAATGATAAAATACGAATAAAATATATGCATATGTATGTTTTAATTTAATGAATTAATTTGTTTACATGTATGTATTTATTTTTAAATTACATTTTTGAATTTAAATTAAATAATTAATTATATAAAGTTTATATAAAAAAAATCTCAAATAATCCACCCAATAAAGTATTATATTGTACATACAAAATAAAAATAAATATATTAATATATAAATATACTGTATATCTAATGAATCTAGGAAAAGGTGCAAAGAAAATGGTTTTAAAACTTTTACATTTAGAACGGAAAAAATAAATAAAAGTTGAACACATTAAAAAATCAAATAAAAAATTTTAACTTTATAAGGATATAATTTATCCTTCAAAACTATGTTCCCCCCCCCCTAACTGAAGAATCACCCATATAGTGTATAATGCTTATCATTTCTTTCAAAATATGTTGCATTATGCAACAATAAGCATTTCAAACTATATCATGCTAAATTATCATCACATGAACTCCTCATCATGAGGCTATCGCATGACCTCTGTTTACTTCAGCTAGCAATGTCCAGTTATCATCTCAGAAATAAAATTATTATAAAGTTGGGTGCACTGCAATATGAGACTCAGTATTCAATGCATATTATACTGTATACTGCATATTTTTGCAGATGTGGTAGATTATCCAGGTATTCTACGCATACAGAAAGTGCACAGTTCAATGGAATTGTACTAATCTTGCATACTATTTAGGACAGACAGCAAGAGTAGAATTGGAACGCAGCCCATCCTCCACTTTATCACACTATCTCTCTGTCACTCGCCCTCGCTCTGTTTCTCCCTCATTCTCTATTAGACTCTCACCAGCTGCATAAATCCTTCACACCCCTAAAAATGCCAGAAATGCACTGAAGTCTGCAGAATACTGTCAGTCCGAGCAAATAAAACATTGTCACACACATTCCTGGACTAACACACACCTCACTGACGCACACACACACTGGGCTCTTTCTTATACAAACAAACACACACAAAGCAGCCCTTCACAATCTGAAGTTCAGTGCAGGTAGAGGAAAACCTACCCAAATAGCACATCACAGCTACAGCTAAGAGCTGTGACATAACATTTAACAGAGACTGAGAAGGTGGAAAGTGAACGGCGAGGTCATTTCCTGTTTCTCTAAAGTCTTGCGCGACTCACGTTGAGCTAATCATAGGAAGAGATGTAGCAATGTTCCCGGCCGCATGCCCGTTAAGAGCAGCAGCCCAGTCTGAGAGAGGGTGAGAAACAACACCTTTACAAAAAAATAACTTATATGACATAGTTACTCCAGTTATTGTTAATAGAACTATGCTAGCTTGGTATTAGCCACCAGTTTCATTAAAAAAGAAAAAAGTAATTGACAGAAATGACAACGTTTTTCAAAGTTTCTAACACAATGAATCATATTTAGAGACCAGAATATCACTGAGACTTGAGAGTGGCCTCTTTTGACTTGGGCCAGTAAGAAACCACCTATCAACCAATCAGAGCCCTAGTAACCACCCACAACAAACTGCTAAAAACCAGTCTCAACTCTTTAGTAACTGCAAAGCAACACCCTGACATTGGTCTGCAACAAGGTCTGCAATCTTAAAAATCGTAAAAATGTAATTAGCATTCTTCAGTAGTAAAAACAAACAAACAAATAAAAAGTTTCATAATATAATATAATATAAATACATGTTAAAACAAATAATAAATGAAATAGAATTATATTTATATTTATTTGAGTATTTTTTTATTTATAATATATTACAGAATTACAAATATTTATAATTTATATTTAATGTATTATAAATAAATAGAAACAAATAATAAAGTTAAATATATAATTATAATTAAATAGTTTATAATAACTATTTATAATAATTTATTACAATAATTTAAATAGTTTAGAATAAAAAAATAAATAAATACATAATACATGCATGGTAAATCAAATACTACATTCAATGAAATATAAATGTTTATTATTCTATGTATTTGATTATTTTTAAACATGTATTTATTTATAATATATTATAAATAAATAAATGAAAACAATACAATTAAATATATATTTATAATTCAATAGTTTACAATAAATAAATAAATAAATAAATAAAAACAACCTTGGTTCTTTAGCAGAAATATGGTTATCATGGTACATTTTTGTAAGAGCACTATGCTACCTTGGTCCAGCACACTATAAAACAAAAACAAACACATATGTACACACAAAGTGCTTTAAAAGACACAAATGTCCACAAAACACACACACACACACACACACACACACACACAGACACACACACACACACAGCTCTGTTTATGGAATGACATATTTTAATCCGATAAGACTTTCAGTGTGGAGGCAAACTGGATCCTGGGAATGCTGAATACTCAAAACAGGCTAAATGATTTTGTGAAATGAAAAGAAAGTGATTGCTCTGGATAATATGGCCTTGCAGCGTGATTCTGATCTCGCATTAAACAGGCTCATGCCTGCGTTATCTGTGTTTACTGAGAAGTGGAATAATCACTGTGACAATTAAAGGAAATTCATGCTCAGACTTGGATTCTACTTTAAGATCCTCGTTTTCACTTGAACATGATGCTGTTTCTTTGGTTCCTCTTTTTTCAGTTAAATGATTTGGCTATTATGTCGCTGTATATCTCCCACGATCCTTAGCAGTGGAATAACAATTCTTAGAAGTTGCTGCAAGGTCAAACAAGGAAAGAAAATACAGTAAGAACGATAGCAAGGGAGAGAGAGAATGATCTGGAAGTGTGCCAATCAAAGCCCATTAAAAAGTCAAACATTTTTGCCACTGGGAGGAGAACTGGATGTTATGTTCTCTTTTCAGAAATGGAAACTATTTCAATGATTCACATGAATGAGATATTAAGCGTTTCATTCTTTTTGCACTTTGGCTTATGGCTTTATTTACGTCTGTACTGATGTCTAATACGCTCCTGCCAGTGAGAAATGCTTGATTGGACATTTGATTTCCTGTGGCTCTGTTTGCAATTTGACAGCCGTGCAATATTAAAGGCCAGCTTTTTAAATGCAGGAATTATAATGAAAGGTTAAAATCAGTCTGAGTTTAGTCTGTGTCTAGGAAACAGAAAACAAACTCTCCCTACGTAAAGCTTTGACACTTTAAATATGCAGAGTATTAATAATAAAAAAAAACAGTGTTTGATGGAGATTTTAAATCACATCCGTAAACAAACTAGCTACATCCTAAGCATATGGGAAATTGTTACCATTTAAGGCTGTAAAAGTGTGTCATTAATGAGCCACGCCAACAATTTTATAAATAGAAGGATACAGAACTACAAAACTAACCAAGAAGATTTTAACAGTATGATGTCATAGAACCTTTGTAAGTTCCAAAAAGAACTTTATGTAGTTTGTTATATATGATATTTATATAATATAATAGATATAGATCAGTGTATTTAAAGCTTTTGTTGCTTTAAAGAACCCAGAAACCAATCCGCTGACCTGAACATAAAGAACTTCAAATCTCCAAAGAACCATATAGCAACCCAAGAACCTTATAAGAACCTTATACACGCATAAATGAAGGTTATGTGATGCACATCACCATGATGTCGATGATCAAACCATAGCATTAAACTTTCAAGAACAAATCTGTCAGTTTATTTCAGAAAAATCCTCAAAACCACACAATTACAACCTTGCAAGAACATTTTGAAGAACGTGGGCAACCAAGTAGTTGACGGTAGCCATTGACTTCCATAGTAATTCTTTCCATGCTATGGAAGTCCAGGGCTACCGTCAACTATTTGGTAAACCATATTCTTCAAAGCATCTTTTGGGCTCAACAGAAGAAAGAAACTTGTACAAGTTTGGAACGACATGAGGGAGAGTCAATAGGATTTTCAGGATTTTCATTATAGGGCATACCTTGAGAATTTTTCAGAACTTATCAGACAGTCGGAGACAAAGAATGGATTTTATGATGTCACTATGCAATTCAGAACCAAAATGCTTCTGATCTGGAATCAGGCACCATGTGGAGGCTCTAAAATGCTGATTGCAATTGCTGCAATTCAGCTGAACCCAAATCAGCGTATTTTTCCGGCATTAAAGTCCCCATGAAATCAAAATTAAAGTTTTTTGGGTGTTAGTATCAATATGTTAATCTTAAGGTTATCTATAAGGCAGTGTGCTCCAAAACAGTGACAAAATTCACATTTAAAGGATATAAGCATTCAAAGCTTGCAGTTCGTCACTTCCGCCAAAACGGCTCAACAATTTTTTTTGACGTCACATCGTACTTCAGCTTCTCATCAACTTTTCTGTCCAATCAACTGCTCTCTAGAATCCGAAGCGCCCGATGCGGCTTTACGGAGCTCAACGGCTCTGAACGGCTCTAGCCCAAGCTGTGATATAAACAAACGCTATTGGCTATTTTAAAAAGGGGCGGGGCTGCTTGATATGTCCCACCCTGTCTTCCTGTTTCAGTTAAAATGACGTCAACACAGAGTAACGCTACGTGCTTCTAAGCATTTCAGGGGACCTTTAATTCATGAAGGAACTGGCCTGAATCTGGGTGGAGTGCTTGATCAGAAAGGTGTGCGGGCAGCGGAGATGGTTATCTAAACCACAGCCTCCCATCGTTTGACTCAGATGTGTGTAGGTGATGATTGCCATGTTGGAAAGGGTTGAAAATAGTATCATCACCATGGTTACACAGCACAAAGCTTCAAGCAAAAGCCCTTCTACCCAGTAACTCAGTAACTTCTAACCCAGTAGTGCACGGCTCTAAACGTTCTACAAAGCTATGTGAATAGGAGAGGTCAAAGGTTAATGATTTAGTATGATATTTAGGATGTTATTACCAATTCAAATGATAATAGTTAGCAATGCAGTAATTCAGTTTGATAAGAGTTAGGAATTTATCAAAACAAGAAGTCATTTTTTTTCTACGACGCCCTCTAGATGTTAAACGCACAAACATTTTGACACGTCCAACACGCGGCCGCCATCAGACATATTTCATTAGTGGAATTAAAGACAGCATGCACTGTTTGCGTGCAAAAACATCCCAAATAAAACTAGCATGTGGAGAAGACAGAAATGCAAGAATGTTAATGAGACAAAAAGCAAGAAAAATCGAGGATAAGACGCGTTCGCTAGGAGATGTGAGATGCTATTATGATACCTAACACTGGTGCAACACATTTATCATCTCAACAGTTGTTTAACAGTTAGCATATGGGATTAAACCAACAATTAATTTACAAGAATCGTTTTGCATCAACTTCAATCCACAATCCATGATTATTCATTGTTTTCGTCTATAATGGAAAATTCAGTGATTTTAGCTAGTCGAGCTAGTCTAAACCGAATCGGATGCAAAATATAGTGAAGTGTGTCTTCCATGTGCTTATTTTCGCAACACTTTCACTTTCTCAACTACAGGATGCCGTCGACAAAACCCAAAGACTTGGCGCCAGACCACCCTGGCAGATCATATGTTTATTTTTCTTTCCCCCCTCCCACAAAAATGGTATCTTCAAACAACCGAAACAATTGCTTTAATCATACGCCACCAATCAGCACTTAGCATTGACTTCTCAGCGACGACATTCGTTTCTCGCTTTCTAATTTCCCACCGTACTAAATACTCTACAGCACGGTGAAACAATAACCCATGTAAGTGCACTAAAAGTCAGCATAACCTGTCCTTAAGCAATCTTTCCTTACATGTTTCCGTTTCAATGCAGGAAAGCCACCGCGAGCAGCCGACGAGCAGACCTGCGAGAGCTCGAATCCATATGTTTCTCGCTGCAGTGAAAGCGTGTTTGGCGTTTACTTACATGACTGCATGGAAGAGTGACGCACTCAGACAGAAGTGAAAACCTGCGTCAATATCTCTCTCCCCTCTCTTTTCCCTCTCGCAGACAGTTACGCTCTCGAACACACGCCCCTGTGCAGTCCCATGGTGCCTGACTGGGTCCTACTGCTCTGAAATCTAGCACGAGCCATATTAGGAAACAGCAGTTAAACATGTCACACGTAATTTACATGTGGGGGGAGTGGAGATCGCGGCTCTGTCGTAAGAGGAAAAAAAAGAGAGAGAGAGAAAAAAAAACCCTGCACACGCTGGTACGTGCATAAAACAAACAGAAGGGAAGTGAGACCCGAGAGGGGGGTTTAAAAAAGGAGAAGTGCTCTCAGGTTCAACAGTTAACCAATCGCACGGTTGCCACTGTCTAAACAAGTAGCCGGACGCGCAGGGGTGGGGGAGTTTCCTGCCAAACGCACACGCAACCGCGCAACTTTTTCGAACGCAGCTGAGATTCCCCCGTCGTTTGTGATCGCCTAGACATAACAAACTGCAGTTCACCACAGAGGCACCCCATAAAGTCAAAACAGCCCACACACACTGAACAACCCCCAATCCCACACACACTAAGCATACAAAATTGGTGCAATGCTTCAAGCCGTGGCTGTTAGAACTGCAAAAGACAGACAGACAGGAGAGTGAGACAGTACGGAAAAGCAGTTCTTACCTCTCACATCATGATTAGTATTGAGCGCGTGTATGTGTGTGAGAGATCAGACACGGGTGGCAGGCCGCGACAGCAGAGCCTCAGGCACCGGGTGGACCATTCTCAGAGAGGAGGAGAAAGAGAGAGAGATCGATAGAGAGAGACAGAGCGCTTAGGCTGTGCGTGTGGCTGCTGGTTGCGCCACTGTGTGTGTGTGTGTGTGTGTGTGAGCCGAGAGCCTGCGAGAAACAGCAGCACTGCGCAGAGCACCGAACTCAAGCGCCAATCACGCTGGCTGGAACCGCCCACCGACAGACACAACCAGGAAGTGCTGCCGCTGCCACTGCTCTGTGAGTTCCTCACCGAAGAGAGAAGAAAACGAGAAGGGGAGGGGACAAAAGGAAGGAAAGGTTGGTAAAGAAAAGAAAACGAGTGTGCTTGTGAGATTACATCGTGCTCTCCCAGGAGTCTGTCTGCGTTGGGCACCAGACTGCAGTGGGACACGCGCGCACACACACAGCTGTACACCTGGTGCATTGTGCGGCAACGTTATCTGCTGCTGGAAAAGACAGGATTTGGTCTAAATTCGACACTGAATCTGGGTTACGGCCATTTCAGGAGGGAAATATATCATCGCGGTGGCTCAAAATGAAGCGTTTTCCCAATAATCCGCTTTGAAAAGTGTGATATATTTACACCATAAGCTATTTATTAAATGGCATGGAGGAGAACTGGGTTGCATTCATTTATTTCACTGATGTTAATACTAACAAACTCCCACATGGCCAGGAATTTAGAGTCCCTTTAAACTACACAGTATTTTCCTGGAGGGCCATAAAGCATTGAAACTGGGACATTAATTCATTATCTTCTGGAAAAAGAAAAAAAAAAAGCTTTATTGCATTATTTGCATATTTGAGCCTCGCCCAGCAATGACTGCGGTTATGACTATATCTGAGTTCTGGAAAAATGACACACAACTCACAATGGAATAATCATAATAATAAAAGATGATCAGGGCTTATTCTTCAAAAGTCAATAGAAAAAGCAAATAATTACTCTGCTGTTGTTTACATGCCCCTTCAACACAAGGAATTTAGTTTTTGTGAGAATTGTTTAGAGATTGACTTATGCAGCCGGTTCAGGGAAGTGTGAAAAGCTCAAGTGTGTGTGGGGTCAGAAGAGCTGTCGCATTGATGGGCTCTTTTAAGTCCATGGCTTGAGAGCCTAAAATGTCTGCTGCATGTGCACGGGAGGTAACTGCTAAAAAGAGCTACAAACTAGTGTTATATTAGTATTATTTATATACTATTATAGTATTTATTAATAT